TAAATCAATGAAAAAAATCCCGATAAAGTAATTTGCCTGGGAGCCTTTGCGTTTTTTCAGTATTAGTCACATGACCATGGGCGTGGCCTGATGACGTCACCACTAGTGTTATTGATCATGAAAAAGTTAACACACATGAAATAATTCTAAAGTAACGAAAAATGATGAGGTTATATGAGAATAAATTTTCCTTAGCAACGGCTCGAAAAGATCGGTTAATGGGCCCTTAAATTCGGTCTGTAATCATACTCGTGATAAACAAATCGGACTCCCGCTGCGCGGTCGTCCGATTTTGTTATCACTCTTATGATAACAGACCGACCTGGACTCCACTCAGTCCTATTACCACTACAAATAAAAAAAATAAATAAAAAACTATAGTGCCGAATTGAGGACACTGCAAATATATAAACAAGTATTGAAAATGGAAAATACACTATTATAATAGTGTACGCTCCATTCTAAAAAGAATCCCAGCCGGTGGGACGATAAACCTCCAGATTTCAAATCCAGCGCTCTAAAGCCGCCTCCGTATTTCTTAGAAGTGGTATTACAAAGTCAAATTTTGACATAGTTTGGAGTTACATTTGTTTGAGTATTTATTTGTGATATTTACCTATTTGTAGGTCGTTTTCTTGGGATTAAAGCAACAAAGACAGCCGACTATACAAATAGATAACATTACCTTTCTTAACGAAACCTGTAATAAAACTGCACGTAAGTAACCATTAGTCTTGCTCTCGTTTCCAGTTTTCGTAATCATTACTTAAATTTTAATTCTAACTAAAATTTTCTTTTTAACGGGATTAAAGGATTGGAATGGTGCCCGACAACACAGCCTAGAAGATTAGGTTTTTCTGTTGTGGTGTTCATGTCCTTAACCACTGTGTTCTTTAGTTACAGCACCTGATACTCGATACTCGGGTTTTGCGATGGCCATCTTGGTGACAGAGCCCGCGATACAGCACTTAACAGTTGCGTGTAGTGACCTTAGTGTACCGTACCCGCACCACTGAGACTTATAAACACCCTCTAACTTCTGCCTCTATTTCCCCTACTAAGGAATAACGAACCAAGTGAATTTAAGTATTTTTCACGCCAAAGCTTCCCGTAGTTCAAATGTCCACTACTCATTTCTCTTTTTCTGTATTTATCCTTGCAGCTTCTGTGAACTGCTATAATTATTTAGTCCTGAACACAGCTGATCGAAGTACGAATTACTCCGCAACAGCAGACAAGTGTGATGATACGCTTGACTTCAACCGCTGGTACAGGATTGCTGGCACGGCTGGTACTCAGATCCCCGAGAAGGAGGTTCCGTATCGACATTGTGGAGCAAGATATCCCGGATGGATGGATGGAGTTCACCCTTCGGTCGAAGACGGAGTGGTGACACGTGACGTTTGTTTCGTCCTGGGAGAAACTCGGTGTCGCTGGCCGTCAAAAATAAAAGTTCAAAACTGCGGCGGGTTTTTCGTGTACAAACTGACCGCTCCCAACTATTGTAATCAGCGTTATTGTGGATATCATGGAAAAGGTTATCAGTCTTGTTCTCTGACTTGAGATAGTTTTTATTATTACGAAAGGAAATACCTCCGTTACGTTGTTGATAGAACTAAAACTGTTACGTGGGGGAAGAAGTTTCCTTTCGTTCATACAACGGTGATTTAACTTTATCACATTTTAAACATCGCTTTTCCTGTAAAGTCGATATTTTGTGGGGTTTGAGTACACTAACTGTTGCCGGACACCAGACGCATAGACTGCACTGTCTACAAGTAGTAGTAACAATCTTTTATTAGGAAGCTCCATCACTAAAAGTGGTTTACATAGAGGTCCTAATACTAGATATATACTATATAATGATACAGTTAAAATCTATAAGCAGTGAACACATTTAATTTCTCGACATTGTATATATTCCAGATGGCAGCAAGTAAACTAAAATTCGCAAGTCAAACTAAAACCTATACTGAGCTTAATTTGTCTTTTATCAGCCTTCTTGACGTCTTTGTAATAAGCCATAGGCCATTTTACCTATTTTAAAACGAGTCCTGGTATACATCCTCTCATATGAAAATGAGTTTGGTTTACAAGAAAATCGCATTTCGAAGTGAACGTTGCATTTGGAACAGTAGAAAAAGACAACTCGGACATGGTTTACTGTCAGAATGGCAAATTGAAATCTTTGCCTCCGTGTATTCCTTCAGAAATGATTACACGGTGGACTCTCGAAACATGAACACTTTTGCACATTTGGTGACTACATATTCATAGCTTTTAATATCTGCATTTTCACACTCTGATATGCTTAATTTTTGTATACATTATACGAAGAGCCCTTATTCTATAGCCACCAAAAAAATATACAAAAACATGTCAAGTGTTCACGGTTCCTGTGTTTACACACTAACCCTCTTAATAACACTTTCATTCAAATGTGCTTTGGTGAAACACACTTGCTAACAAGCTGCTTGTTTCTTTTCTGTTTGTTTGTCCCAGGAGGAAAGAACCATGAGCAAATCGAAGAATGGAGGGGATGGGAAAACGAAAACCAAGGATCCACTTGGAAGCTCACAGGAGCGAACGAGCTGCAACAACTTAACGACGACATCAACTACATTGGAAATAATAACACTTATACTAAAGGTCTGGAAATTAGTGCTGATGAAAGATTGCAACTATGTAGATAACAGAGCAAGAAACTCACTCTGTTATTGCAGCTATATTCCCATCAACGAATACCAAGGAAGTTTAGCAGATGATTTAATTCGTAATTCTCAGGTTGAATAAAATTGCTACAATTGAAACACGGTCTGAAAGGAGGGGGATTTCAGTCAATTCTTTAGTATGCTTCCATTCATTACTTCGGCCTGGTAATTTAATGAATGCTGTGTGGATCCGTTTTCGTACGTAATCTCCAGTTTATATTTTTGACTTTTTAGGGCAACAAGAAAACTTTGATGTGCACCTTCGAGGAGAAGAAATGATAAAAACGGAAATCAAATCCGAAGCGTCGTTAACCGCGATGACGTTTTGCTTATGGGTAGCAAGCAAATGTAGTCTGCTCGTGGAATACAATGTCACTATAGATAAATATCAGTTTCGCGGCTTTGGCTTAGTCAGCCACAGCACAGTCGAGTTAATCTTCATGGAGACCAAGATACGGTTAGTTCATTACAATGCAGGGAAATTTTTTTTCTGAATTAGGACCAATTAGCATAGATTTTGACGATTTTACTTCTCCGTTAGCCTGCGGAGCAAGCGTTTCTGTGGGGTTCGGGAGCAAAGAATTACAGCGCGAAAAATGGAGCGCGCAGACAAAACACCAAAAATCCCGTTCCTCGGTCTTTCTTTGCTTTCAAACCCCACGGAAACGCTTGCTACGCAGGCTACTTCTCCGTTTATTCCTTAGTTTTTGTTTCCATTGAGAAGATATATCAAACACTCGGGACAGTGTTTCATCGGCTATCCAAACACCTCGAATTTCGTCAAACATACTCCGCTCCGCGTCGTATTGTCAACTCTCTTCTCGGTGTTTGGATATTCCGATGAACCACTGTCTGTCGTGTTTGATATATTACTTCTCTCTCAAACTCCATGTCATATATAAACTACAGGTTATGAATAGTTCAGGTCACTGGCATTATTGTATTGTAAGTTATCTGTTTCATGTCTTCTCTAAATAACAGAAGCGCAGATATGTCCATTAATGATGGACAGTGGCACCACGTGTGTGTCACGTGGACATCAAGTACCGGACAATGGCGAGCATGGAAGGATGGAACAGCAGAAAGCGATGATAACGAAGTTAAGCCTGTTACCATGGATGCAGTACCAGGTGACGAAATTTTTTTTTTTAAGATAACTGCAGAAATTCTCGCGCGCTCATTGGCTAATTTTCATTGTCAATAAGCGGACAGACACATGAATTTATAATTTATGCGGTGCGTCAACGAGCGAGAGCAGACAATTTGACAATTTGTTATGGTAAAAAACAAATTGACGTCAGTTTTTCATGCGTCTGTCCTGTTATTGACAATGAATTTCGTCATAACATTCTCAAAGTAGTCTGCGGATCCACTCGGCTATCGCCTCGTGGATCCACAGCCACTTTGACAATGTTATGACGAAATTCATGATCAACCACAGGACAGACACATGAAAAACTGACGTCAATTTGTTAAATTAAGCAAGGGCTTATCTGTAAGTTAAAAATAACTTGCTTTCAAATCAAATCTTCTTTAGTTTAATCTTCAAGATCAGTTAATACGAAGCAGACGCTAATGTAATTTTTTTCCGGTCACTTGTATGCGTAAACAAAAACATTGTTACCATAAACCCGAACGTCGTCAAAAGAAGTGAAGTATAAGGTCTAATATTAGATACATCTTTAAGTCTCAACTTGCACATAGCCAATATATTGTCTCAGTATAGAGCTGAGACAGTCTTTAATATCATTACGTCACCAAGTTTTCGTAAATTTTTTTTTTTTTGACAGGCAATGGAATGCTATTTATCAGATTCAAGCAGCAATGTGAGAACTCTGAAACATTTGGAAAGATCAGCACGTTTAATCTATGGAGTTATGTTATGGAAAGAGATGCTATAATTCACATGTCTTATGGATGTGGAAAGGATGCTGGTAATGTGTTATCCTGGCTGGTGGCGAGAGAGATACTAAATGGAACGCTTTACACTCACAGTCCTTCCACATGTAATGAGCGCAATGGTAAGCTGGAAGAAACCGCTTAAATCTTAAAAAATAAACCTAGAGTAAAGGCCTAGCTGTGATAATCACAAACAAGACGTACTTGAGCTGTTGCCGTCTTTTGAACTAGCAGAGATTTATCGTCCACCCGCGTGGTTCAGTTATGACACAAACCATAACTCAACATTCATTACTGCTACGTTATTTAATTTTCCTTGCAGGGTCTAGTCTTGTTATGGTAGGAAACACGACTGGAATGAGTACTGCAGTGTACGTGAGTCAATGGCTCGCCAAGTCAAAAGACTCTTACGGTAAATGCTTGAAGTTTAAATACAAAATTGTGGGGCCTGCGGCGAGGTCACTTACGATTTACCAAGAAATGCCTTCCGGTTTTGGAAGGCAGCCAATCTGGACTGATGACGTCAGAGGACCAGGGTACATGTGGCAATACGGACAAACCTCTATCAGCACAATTTCTAGTTTCAGGGTAAGTAATAAAGAACTTGGACAGAAACAGAAACAATCATGATCAGTTGTTTGAATTTTAGTTTTGTTTGCAATAAAAATAATTTCAACAACTGTTTAAACGAATATTACAACTATAAATGTCATAAGGGATTTGGACGATCACGTCATTCCACTACTGCACTGCTACCAATAACGTCAATTGTTATTTAATCCTCTCTTGAAATTTCATATTTCAAAAATTAAATAACATAATTTTAATAACAATGAATTCTAGTAGCTATAGCAAAATGTTGAAATAGACTTTTCATCACTTTATTTTCCTAATCAGCACTAACCAAACTGAATTCACTTGAGGGTCTTAATCCATTTGATTATATTCAATACACCCTAAGGAATAATACGTGAATGCCAACAAATAGGCGCTATCGTATTGAGGCTATTTTCTTTCGTTTCAGAAAGACTTTCTATTTTAATCCACTATTTCCGAGTAATTTTGTCCTCCAATTTCTGCACGAGTTTTTTCATATGCATCATCCATCATTGTAACAAAGAGATGTAAAAACTTCTGTCTTCTCGTACATTTACAGTTAAGCATTCTGGGAGAATTAGATGGGAGGCCAGGCTACCTTGCCGTCGGAGGCGTTTACATGTCGCGAGAGTATTGTTCACCTCGACCAGTTACCGCTCAGAAAGGTAGAATTTTGATTTATGCATGGCATCGACTATTTTGTCAATGTTCAAAGCTAACTTGTTATATCCTTGTGTTTGCAGCCGATGTAGCGAACGCTCTGATTGGCTAATTCAAGAGCATTATTTTCCCGTAATACTCATGGGCCGATTACAGGCCGGCTAAAACGGTTCAAAAAGCCATGTAATAAGCAACTTATTAAGCCTCAAAAGTTCGGTTTTTACGAGAAAATCTCAAATCTCGGCCTTACCGTATTGACCTCGCTATCGCTCAGTCAGTACGGCAAGGTCTCGGTTTGAGATTTTCCAGTGAAGACCTCACTCTCGGTTAATAAGTAGTCACTAATCCACTGCTTCTTTGCCTTTACATCTTTCTTTAGCTTGTAGTCAAAGCCTCAACAACAGCTCCGGATTTATTGTGTCGCCCCTCTACCCAGGATATTACCCTAACAACGTGTCTTGCACTTGGTACGTGTTCGCTAAAGAAAATCACGTCATACGTCTCCAGTTTCAGTCATTCGCAACTGAGTCTCATCCTACGTGTTCTAACGATTACGTTGAAGTGCGTAACGGTGGCAGTCTCCGGTCACGCACCATAGGAAGGTACTGTGGGCATACCTTTCCGCCAGTCATACAGTCAGCATCAAACGCCTTAACAATAGTGTTTACTTCAAATGAAGTTCAGTCGGGAACTGGGTTCAAGGCATATTACCATGTAACATCAGGTGAGATTTGAACGATATTCACTGCTTCTTGTCTCTTGATGTTAATAAAATAATACACCATTTAAGAAGATACTTTGTTTCTTATGACATTGGAGAAACCGTTGCTCCCTTGGGACTCTACGCTCGACGTTGGAAATTTCAGTGTAATCTTATCCCTGATTCCACACGTCCGCTCATCGCATCTCAGATATAGTAAAATACATTACCTAGTCTTGTGCAATCAAAAATCTAAACTTTTCTGCGTTTATCAGATTAAGCCTACGTCTGCATCTGTAATCTGCAAAGGGTTAACCCATCGCCGCAGATGCAAAAGACTGAAAACTAGGAAATAATTAAAATTACTATTAAGATAAAAAAAGAGATGAGACTGGCCCTAAACGCCTCAACACTCGGTTGGTCCATCTCTTCAGTAGGAAGTGAGTTTCACTCAGGTATAGTTCTTGCATAAAAGCTGAATTTTTTCAAAGTCTTCAAATTGCGATCGCATTGAAACAGTTTTTTTGAGACGATGAAGTGTTGCCATGCTATCAGAAACAATTTTGTAACATTGTTTCATTTTATTTACATTTACAGAGAAAAGAACGTCTTGCATTGATGGTAGGTACATGAATTTTCCAAGCACTTTAATTTGTTGTCTGTATTCTTAAGATCTAAAACTCGTTTAATGTAACTTTTGCAGGTTGTCCTCGGGGTTGCACGTGCTCGAGGTTAGCCGGAAGTGACGTCAGGGTGCAAGTTAAAAGCAAGTTACTTTTGTCTATACCCGGCTATTTCCCAGAAACCACAGCAGTCATGTGAGTAATGAGTTAAGGCTATTTGTACTAGATGTGACAGAAATTAACTACTACACTTTTAAGAAAACTCTTAGTCTAGTAAGTTTTATTCAATCAAGTGGTCCTTTTCAGGTTGTTTGGTGGCAATAAGATAAGTCGGATTGGGGTCAAAGATTTTGCAAACCTTCCACTTATGGAATACTTGTAAGTTCTGCAACCATAATTCAATTTTTGTCTTCTTCTTGCAAAATCCCTCAAACAGTTAGAGCTTACTTACAGTGTAATCTTGACAGGGATCTGAGTAACAATGTCATCCTAAACATGGACAAATCAGTGTTTCGGAAACTAACTGCTTTAAAGACCCTGTAAGTAACATGGTTCTTCCGTGTATTTTACATGACGTTGTATATGCCAATTACTCTGATGGTCTGACGTGCAATGATCAAAGATTCTTATAAAGATTGGTAGATCACTCTACACTCTATGGCAAAAAGCACTGTAACATAGTCGATCACCTAGTTGATAATTCATGATACACAAAAATAAATTCTAGACATTTTATTGTCATCACAATTTCTCGCGGAGTAACGAATTTCTTTGAATTTTTTAGGAGACTGAATGGAAATTTCCTTGAGAAAGTGTCCAGAGAAAACTTCCACGGATTGTCCAATCTTCATACTCTGTAAGGATACAATAAAATTAACCTCTCCGAAATCTTTCTTGGGATTGATTTGTCTGTAACCACTTCTTCTTAGCTCACCCACATTGAAAAAATAGAATGCAAAAGGACTCCTTACTGAGAGTTTTTCAACTAAAATAGTAATATATTTCTTTCCATAGGGGCCTAGGAGCAAACCTGCTTCGTGAAATTCGCAGCGGGGTGTTTCAATATCTTGAGGATCTGAAAGTTTTGTAAGAATTCTTTCGATATGCAGTATCTGTATACTGGATTTACTTACTTACACTGTTGCAATAATACTGTGTTTTGTATCACGTTCTCATTATTAAATGTATTACTTTCGTTAATTATTTTTTGTCCAACAGGAGTCTACACTCTAATAAGATTCAAGCAATCGAAGAGGGTGCATTTCGGGGCCTGGAAAACTTAACATTTCTGTGAGTACGATAGAAAATTGTTTTGTAAAGACATATATGTTATTTGCCGGCTGGGAGGTCTACAAACCATGGCAAAAAATCTAACGAGCGAACGAGCGAGTAACTCAAATACTAGACAAAGCAAGCTGTATTAAAGAACAGATTTATGTTAGTTGCACCTAGTTCATCATTTAAGTTCTCCAAAGTTGTTTCCCCGGTATGAGTTTCGTGCAAAGTTTGAAGTTGTGCTACAAGAACAATTTCTATCAGTTGTTGCGAATCACTCGAAATCGGACTTTTTGACCGTACATTGAGTACCAGAAAGCGAGGAAATTCGTTAAGTGTATTCCACAGACGTTCTCTTAAATACAGCCACAATCAAGGAGGTAAACTCGACTGCAATTAATTTTTTTGTATTAAAATAGTGCAGCGAGAGAAACACTGGATTACGCGCCATTACAGCGCCGAGCTACAAACCACCAAACTCTCACAACTCCAAAACACTCAATTGAATTTACTAACAGTGACTTTCCTTGCCATTTAAAAGTGAATAGAGATAAACTTGCGTTGATTAATCGTCGATGGAAGTGTAAAGAGGTAAAGGTTGACGATTACCGCCGGTTCACTCACGAAAACTAACCAACACGACATTTTCACCCGCGCTGTTTCCCGCCGTTACCGTGACCGTGGTCAGAGATATAGGAAAATCCGGACCACGCTAACAACCAATCAGATTGCAGGATTCGTTACTGGACCTCTCGGCAAAAAATAAACTTTGTTCTTCACTCCTTCACTTCTTTTGTTATTTTTTTTTCTTGGCGCACCTGTAAACTAGCTGGTGCGTCCTGTGGACTCTGCTTATCAAGTCTATCGGACGCACCGTTACCATAGCTAAGTGTGTGACCAAGTAAAAAAAACTGTCTATGTCTGTCGATGTCGATGTCGATACCGATGTTTATGTCTTGGTCTAGGACTATGTCTATGTCTATGTCTACTCTTTTTTGTTCTACTTATCATTTACCAAAAACACCATTAAGCTTTACTTTTCCGATCCTTATTGAAAGCAAAATCATTGTAGGTGTGACTGCTGAAAGTAAATTTCCGTGAAATCTACGTGGCGGTTCGTTTTGTAGGCTACTTCAGAAAGAGGATGTTTTTAATTTACACCAAGAGGAACTAACTGAGAAATTGATATTTGCAGTTTGGGTAGGAGAAAATAGGTCAAGGCTATTGCATGGGATCCCTGGGTGCCAAGTCAGAGGATAGTAAACTGTTTGATCCTCCCAGTAACTATAGTCATACGCTTGTGTTAAAGATTGCATAGATAGGTAAAGGTAAAATAGAAGTGTCAGGTTGAATTAGGGAGACATACTGTACACACCACTCTTTTGCTTCTGTTATGTTTCTTATGTTTCTTTTCTGTTATCCTTTGCTTCCGTTATGTTTTGTTTTTTGTTAGATATCTTCATAACAATAATTTAACAAGTATTCAGCGGTATTCCTTCCGAGGACTTAACTCATTAACGACGCTGTAAGTATCGCATTTTGATTTTCCGGAGTTGCGTTTAATTAAAAGTGTAAATGCAATGCTTACCTATTTCAGAATAAATTTAAGAAATTGAATAATTTACTCTATCCATTACTCATCCCAAACAGTTTTAAAGAAAAATACCAGAGAGAGTAAATGAAAAGCTAAACTTTCATTCGAAGATTGTTATGACGCCATCCCAAAGCTCAGAAAGTGGACTGAGCAATGGTAGAAACAGTAAATTAGTCTAGGAGTGCTTGTGAACGAGCGTTAGTCCCTCTAGTGTCCTGCCAAAACTTAACCTGCGCTTAAAGTATCAAGCAAGTTTGGATTCGAGGTTCGACGACTGGAGCGGAACCTCTGCTGCTCTACCGACCGAGCTGCGAGGCCGGAGTCAGTAGGAGAAGGCAGCTATGGGGATGAACATGCCTCGAGCAGATAGTAAATGATTTAGGAATTTCACACTGATCAATATATTGCATAAGACTTGAGAAGGTTTAAAACCGAGAATTCAATTGAAGGAAACAATTCTTTTTTATTTTTTAGTTTCCTCCATGGAAACCCATTGTCAGAATCTGATGTTGCTGCCGACACTTTCGCCGAATTAAAAAGCCTGAAAATCTTGTAAGTGCTCTCTAATAATTTTTATAACTACGATTACAAAAACAGTGGAAAGTAATCATTTTAAATCTTAAATTAGTTGTTTTGTAAATTATCGGAAGTATTCACAATTGCCTTAATTATCGGAAGGCTCGTAGCGTATCGCTAACGCTTTCGTAGCGTAAAAAAGAGGTAAAATTGCACATTCATTTGATTTTTATATAGTTTATGTCATAAAGAAATGCAAAATTACAACAGAGCACCCTTTTAGGAGTATCAATGATCTGTACACCTCTATGTAGCCAGAATACGCAGCAGAGTGCCATAAAATCATGGCGCTATGTAGAACTCGCGCATTGCTTGTAATACAGTAAAAATTACTCTCGTAGTCAGATGTTTTCTCATTGGGTTTATGAGAAGATCTAGGAACGATTACGTAAAAAATGTCATCAGCACAGTTGTAGAAAGTTAGGATTGTCAAAGAAAATATTTTTTCAGTTACATGGAAGGATTCTATTATCTTTCTTAGGAAACTCGACCAATTTATTCTCTGCTGCTACGCTGTGAATACCATTCCAAACCTGAAATGTCAATCACCTGACAGAGCTTTCTCAACCTGTGATGATTTAATGAAAAACAATACACTGCGCATGTGTATTTGGATACTTGGACTGCTAGCCTTCATTGGTAACTTTCTTGTGATAATTTGGAGAGTACGAATGAGAGATGAAAACAAAGTTCAGTCATTCATGCTTACAAATTTAGCATGTTCAGACTTTTTAATGAGTGTCTATCTATTAATCATTGCTATCAAAGATCTCCAGTGGAAAGGCGAATACTTCCAACATGACGTGGCTTGGAGGAGAGGACGCCTCTGTCGATTCGCGGGCGCGCTTTCCATGCTTTCTAGTGAAGTGTCCGTTCTTATGTTATTAGCTGTAACGATGGATAGGTTGATATGTGTCGTGTTTGCGCTCAGAGTGCGGCCTCTTTCGTTCAGATCAGCTCGTATCATTTGTACTTGTATATGGTTAATAGGAATCATCATTTCGTTTATTCCATGGACGGGGATCTCGTATTTCCAGGATAGTGAAAGAGGTGCTGGCTTCTTTGGTAGTTCTGCGGTTTGCCTGCCACTTCAACTCTCGGAAGGCAAGCCGGCTGGTTGGGAATATTCCACTGCATTCTTCATCACCTTGAATGGCATTGCATTCCTGTGTATTTTGACTGCATATGTCTCAATATTCTGGACTGCTTTTCGTTTAATCCACTCCTCGTCAGTCAGGCACATGGTAAAAGCGGAATCCACTAGAACAACAAGGTTATTTTTCATTGTTTTGACAGACTTTTTCTGCTGGGTGCCAATAATTATTCTCGGTATCTTATCTTTGACTGGAGATTTTCGTGATCCGAAACACGAGGCAAAAGTATGGATCGCAGTGTTCGTGCTTCCAGTGAATTCCGCCATCAATCCAATCTTATACACCTTTTCAACACTTGGAGTCAGAAGGAAACTTAGAGCTGCATTTAAAAAGAGATTTGCTGCAAAGTTGAGGTGTAAGTAGACACGTGTATAACTACATCGAAACATCTCACATCTGTATGTACCTCTTACTAACCGGATTCGAGGTCCGTACAATAAGTTACGGACCGAGTTGTTTTCTGTTTTTTTCTTTTTTTATTTTTCTGATCATTACATTGTTTTCTCCTCTTCAATTTATGGCCCAAGCGCTTCGCGCCTAGGCCATAAATCGAAGGGGAAATAACGAGGATCCATAACTTACAGTGCGGACCGAGAAGACGAGGTTAGTAAGATAGTCATTATATCTCTACTGTGTGTGCCGGAGAACGATTTCGATTCACGCGGAACGGCTCCAAATTTCTGAAACACCTCGAAAGCAAAACGAGTCAATTTGAAATCGTTGTTTAGTCGTTAACACGTTTTAATACACAATTTAAAGTAAAAGAAAGTTTTAAACTTTTACCTGCTATAAATGTTAAGATCACTAGGCGATAAATGACGAAACATTGTGGCAACAAAAACAGCTTTAAATTTTAGCGGGCCGTGCAGTAGAATACGGCCCCTTGAATTAGCTTAAATTGACCAATCACCGTACGCGTGGTTACTGAGAGATATAATAATTAGAACTGAAGCTCAAGTCGGATTCATTGTCACATTTTTTTCTAAGCATACTAGTTCATACAAGTATTTTTATTGGTAAGATGTCGATCAGTTTCTGGCGAGATTTCTGGAGTATTATAATGAAAGTTCTATTAATTTGTTTTAAGAATTCTTTTCGCACATTGTTTCTACTTTTGAAACTTTCCTGCGCGAACTACACCGATATTCTGGTCAATTAGTGACCTGAATGACGGCACTTTGCTTTACTATTATGCCTTAAGATTTGAAATGATTTTAGTAATCTTTTTTTTTAAACAAAAGCTGGTATATCCCACCAAAGAGACCTGGCTGGTGGCTCTGCCATGCCGGAAACAATGAACTCGGAATATCACCAAACAGAATCACTGGACTGTCCTCCAAGGAAGCTGCGTATATTAGGAAAAGCTGATGGCTTCTCTCAAGATCCTGATGTGGTTCGTCTTACATTAACCATTATATTCTATTTAGATTATCCAGTCCAAGGGAATGATAACTCTTGCCTTGAGAACATCGTAGGTGTATGGCTAAAGAATATACATAAAATGAAAATGTACTAGTTGTACCTAACCAAAGTCATCTCAGTATATATTTTCATCGCTAGACGACATTTCAAAACATGCATAAGTCATGCATAAAGATTATTCAATTCAGTGGCGGATCCAGCTGTGTTCAAAGTGAAGGGGCAAAGAGAAGATGTGTTCTTTGCTTGCTTTAAATAAGGGGGGAGGGGAGTGATGAGAGACCCTTTTTCCTTGCTCACAAAGAGAGGGAATAGGTGAAAATATTCCTCATGGGTATTACTTGGTCCAAAAAAAGTGGAGTCGCTGTGTACGTCTCTTTATCCAAGAAGAATTTGTCATTACAGGACTGATGCGATGTTAAAGTCAAAAGCTAGCAAGGAGATTACTTTTAATAAATGCAGTTTACTTATACTCATTTTTTTTGGCATTACAGATTTATCTCATTGCCGAGGAAGAATTTGGCAGCGGGAACTCCAAAGCGTTATTAAAATGTTTTCCCCCAGGAAAGAACAATGCTTTCGATAACGAACGTAAAATTTTGGAACGTTTGCGTGAAATAGCCACAAGACGTGATATTCCTTCCCTTCAGTGGCACAGTAAAGGTGAAAACAATATTCTAACTGTATTTGTCCATTAGGATAAATTTTAAGAGGCATGAGGGCAGCGAGAACCATTTGAAGCTAGCAGGAAAGAAACCAGAAATAAATGTATATTAATAGAAATGAGATGAAAGTAAATAAGAAGCTGTACCTAGTTATTAACTCATAAATGGTGTTCTGTAACAAACTTTAAATAAATTTGTTTTTATCGTTCTTTTTCTACTTTGTTCACAACTTCGAAAAGAAAACAAATCAAACCAGTTGACATCGAGTACAACAGTTTCTTTGGAATCTAATTTCCATCCAGTGACGGAGCTTATTTAGTTCTACCGGTCACAACCGACAGACAAAACTTCATCTATTGTTTTTAGAAGTATTTTTGATTCCGCAACAATTCTAACAAAGCATTCTCAATACCTAACTTTTGATCTCTTTGCAGCAAACTCTTTAGAAATATGTTCTACGCAAGCGTACATCCCACAGCCCAGTGAGAATATGAGGTATGTATAGAGATTTTAAATTAACTATCAAGACTGCTAATTTCCTGTTTGGGTTAAGGGCTCATAAACGTTCGAGGAAATCGAATTTACTAATAGACAAGATAGTTTAACGTTTTAATAAGTATCATGAATCAACCGCATAGAAATCAGGAAAAATTGTCACGAAGTACTACTATAGTAGATGGTCTGCAATAAAGGTCACTCTGTATCGTGAAAACCGTATAGCATAAGAAACTGAAATCAATTGCATTGCTTGTTTTAGGATGCAATATCATGTCTGTCAAGTTTAAGTATAAATCTACCAGTGTTCTATCGCGCATGCTATTCTCTTATTGGCTACACAACGCACTATCTATTCTGTTGTAAATAGTATGCGGTTGCTTGTCAACAAAATGGCGGCCGATTCTTTGCGTTTTCGAAGTATCTGAACCTGTCTTGTTTAAGTTTTGAACGATTGGTAGATTTATAGTGGAGCTCCTACGCACCGAAGACGCGCGAGCGGAGTCCCATAGTTTAGAAAATTTGGTAACCCATCGGTCTCAAAAATTTTGGTTGTCACGTGACTGTCCGTACGTCCGTACGTTAGGGTAAGATACATTATGCTCGAAAATTTGAGCAGTAAGCTTTTTAGCGTCACCCTAAAAACAACAGCATTATGCCTAAAATTATGCTCAAGAAGCAGCATTATGCTCGACTGATCTTGGTTATATTTTATGCCCTCTTCCCTCCCTGGAGGCAAAAAGATACCTCCATCGGTCAGAAACACAACGTTTTACCGCAGAAGTTACAATTTTACAAACAATAACAACAAATAATGCTCATTATTATACATTGAAGTCACCATCTCTTTTATGATTGGCCGAAAGTGTACAGTGAATTTTCGAAATCAGCACCTGCGACGTCATCTAGCTGCAGATTATACAATAATCATGTCAAGGACACTCAAGGTCACGGGTAATCATGTCATGTATGACCGCGGTTCTAAGGGTAATCATTTCAATTACTTAGCATGTCAATTCTCGGTTATCAGCCTCAGCCTTCGGCTTCCGCTGATAACCCCTACCTTGACCTTGATTATTCTGGATATCACAAAAACCTCTTACAATAATTGTTTAAAAGCACTTAAAATTTCTTATTTCAATGGAACTTTCCATCGTTAGGATACTCTCTGATCAGTTCAAGGCCTTGAAAGTAGCAACCAAGCTTTTCAATATGCTAAATCCTTACTAAAAGCACTTGAACGTGAAATTTCTCATAACAGTTATAAAAATGTTAACTTTTATATATTATTATTATTCTCTTTATGCTGAAAAAATACCCATTATGGCGGCATTATGCTCGATGCTCGGTCTACAGAATTATCCCCAAAATTATGCCGGCATACCCTATCGTAAGCGAAGTCCAATACCTTAGCACCATTTCCATGGGTACATCTTTGATATTGGACATCCATGTTACGGTTGACTGACAGCTGTCAAAACAAGGTATCCGCTGACTAGTTCACGTCACCATATCGCGGGCTCAGGTTTAGAGCTCGTCGAGGTCGCCTGTTTTTTCGAAGTTGACCGCTAACCAGGTACTGGTTTTCCTTTGGATCGTAGGTTCAAGTCAGGTCATTACTCTGTGGGAGAAGGAGGGAATACATGCAAAGGCAAAATTTCGGCGCAAATAAATGGCGCGTTGTTGACTTTTCTTCCGACATATTCCTTGCACAATCGTCTCTTGAAAAGTTCCTGATATATTGCGTACGTAATTTCTACAATCTTGGTTACGCTTATTGGGTATAGTTTGTTAATATTTAACTGGAAAAAATGTCGAAACCACACGCTGAACAATTACATGCTCACAATTGATCATTTTGTTTTGTTTCTGATCCAGGAAAAACAAATACCCTTTTTTCCTTTATAGTTAGTTATTGATTATGGTAATCAGGAGCCCCGGTTTTAGGCTTGGCTAAATCTATATATCACTAAAACAATTAGGTTATTTGCACCCTCGTCGACAAATCCAAAAGATAGTTTAAAATGACCGTGAATTCGAAATTACCGAGTTCGAATAAGTGAGGACCAACTAGTTATTTCGATTATCAAAAGCGAGGCTCGAAGTTTAACATTTTAAATTTTTCTTTTACTGTATCATAACCTATCGATGAAATTTTCAATTTTTATTGTATGAATAATGTGGAATATGCTGCCACTGTCAATTCGTCATGCTTCTAACATCTCTGGTTTTAAAAAGGGAGTAAGGGATTATTTATTTCAAGAAATGTTTAATTTAATTAAACTGTTTTAGAATTTTGCCCCCCCCCCCCTCCCCTTTTTTTCTTTTATCAGGTAGTCTGCCTAGTATGAGGACTTTGTCTCTTTTGCTGACCATCCTTATGGCCATTTTATTCTTTTATTGCTTGTATTTTCCATGTTATCTTCGCCATTAAATTGTAATAAATAAATAAATAAATAAATATGTTAAAGGTTTTAATGTCATCATTACGGTAGTTAGTTATGTTAATTTTAGTAGCGGGATATCTGTAAACTAGCCGTATGGCTAAGCATTTTGCCACTTTAAATTAAGTATCCTATCCTATCCTATCCTATCCTATCAATTCTTTGCTCGCGCCAGCTTTGCGTCCACAGCTTAGAAAATAAAATTTCCGCGGATAACTATGAGTCCTCAACAACCTCGTTCTCAGGGTCTCTCAGGGTTCCCAGGGAAGGTGAGAGACCCTGGGAACGAGGTTGGGGCCCTCAACAGAAACACTATTGTGTTTAAGTAGAAGTATGACTTATAGCAGGAGTTTTCTTACAGGAAAATTTCTAAAACTCAAAGACAGACGGAGGGAATTTCTCTACTTCCCTTAGAAAAAACTTTGGGAGACAAACTCGTTTATTTCTATTCTCGAAATGTAAATTGTCTTTGCTCACGTCGTAATTATGTCACTGGGGAGTTAACGAAACCACGACGGCGACGCCGAGGACAACGTCGATTAAAAAATGAGTTTCTGTTTTAACTACGAATCTTGCGATACTCTAAAGTCATTTACTTTGTTTATCACTGTTAAAACTATCATGAAACTGAATCTGGGACATGGCGATAAATTTGAAATAAAAATTCAAAAAATTAGCCGTCGTGGTTCACGTTCTCCAGACAAAGCAAAATCTGGTCATTTCACGTTTTTTTTCAGAGGACGGCAAAGAAATGTACCAAGAATTACAATGCACGTGCACAGCCATTGTATTGCTCATTGTTCAGTGACGTTCTCGTTGCCGTTGCCGTCGTGGTTTCGTAAACTCCCTATTAGCAAGAGTTCTGTGTTTGTAACGAGTTTTTGTAGCCTCTGAGTTGTGCTCCTATTGGAAATCCGCGAAATGTGGTTGGTTCTCTATTCGCTGATAGACAACGATCCCGCGCGCTGCTATCTTTCAACGGAAAATTATTCTTAATTTTAGGCTTGAAAATACAGAAACTGTTGGTTTTGTGCTTGTCTTTGTTTCTTGGCTACGCCTCGTTGACTATTCGCTCGTAGATAACTCAGGCTCGTGGTCTAATTATGAAATAGAGCATTGAATATTATCTTCATTTGTTCCTAGCACTTGAACTTATAAGAGAAACGTAGCTTAGGNCTTAATTGAATTGAATTCGACACGGCAGAAATGCGACGTATGAACTGGGCCTTAGGTTCAAACCAGAAGCATATATGCGTCTGGTTTGAACCAAATCCCGTTCCATAAGATCTGGGCACGTGATCCACCTTAGTGATTTTCCATCTTCCTTAGCAACTGTCTAAAACTTAACATGAGCTAACGGCTTAGGAAGAAGGCATGCATGAAAAAGCCATGTCTGGCTTTTTGTAGCAAAGAAAATATTCGATCAGTAGGCAAAACCAGATTATTGAACTGAACTAAAAAATCACAAATTTGCATGCGGCTTGAAGCTCGTAGGACTGCTGTAAACAGCAGGTTCATCAGCAGTTTCCAAAGCTTTCTTCACAAAACACATCATTCTGTAAATTATGCTGCTCACGCAGAGCTAAGAGCGAGAACACGATTAGCAGGCTGTGGCAATACTGTTATCACTCTATGATCCCCATTTGGCGACCAACAAAAAGAACGACCTGCATTTTTCGACTTGGGCTTTCGAGAAGTAATCCTCTGCGACTACAAAGGTAGAAACCAAAAAGAGTTACGATTCGACTCTAAGAACAGCAGTCAACTATATATGTTTGCCGAGTACCGCCTTGGTCTATGAAAAGCTTGGTATCGATAGCGTTGTTTCCATTGTTGTAATTTATGTCACACAAGAGCGTGACTAGCTTGTTTGTCCAGCTATGGTCGACTGCACATGCTGAACGCATGACGTTATTCCTTTCCGTCTGCACTGCAGAAGGTGGTGTGTGATAAAGTAGAGCAGACGCCATCAAAATAAATTAGGGAGTAACTAAACATTTTTCCGAGGCCGGTAACCAATTAAGTTGCCACCAGTTTAGTCACAACGGCAACTAAAATTTTAGGACTGTCGACTAAACTGCAACGTAAGTCGCCACCCCGCGGATTGCAAGAAAACCTAAGAATACTACTTGAGAGCTTGAGCAGATCATCAGGACTGAATGTTATAAATTTATTACGAAAAATATTGGTTTAATTTGCCATTTAAACCAACTATTGCCAAATAATAAAACCGTAAATTATTCTTACCTTCTGACGCATTTTCTTTTGGTTTTTGCCTCAGTATACTATGTTTTGAGTTCGTCAGCGGAATCTCTCTGTTGGCTTTCATGGAAAGGAATTCCCCGTCCATGAGCCTCGCTCTCGCTCACCACCTTGGTCTTGATGTTATCAATGCTCTAGAGTTCCTGCATGATCATGGAGTCAATCACAACAGCATTATACCAGCAAATATCTTATTAGTAGCAAGGTCAGGGGTAAGTGGACTAATTGATCCAACAGTTATGACACCGCTAATTTTGTTACAGTAGAAAGCTTACAGAGCAACCAGTGGATTGTCTTAATACTTAGGAACATTGCAAATGTTTCTCAAGTAATTAATCAGGTTAATTAATAGCTCGCCATGATTAATTACGTGGCATGCTCTCATTGGTTTCAGATCCCGCGATGGAGAGCAATGCTTACAAACTTTGACCGTGCCTCGGTGGAAACAAGTCATATTAGTGATATAAAAGCTTTCGGAGGTCTGCTACGGCAAATGGTTCGACAGTGCAGTGATGTTGACTGTCAGGTACGACTGCCAACAGTCTCTAGTGCCTAATATCTAGCTGGTTTAACCTTTACAGACCGGGTTAAACAGTCAGAGAAGTGTTTCCACAATAAACAGCTGATTACTGTTGTCCAAAGAGGCGGTAATACATTGACTTAATCCAACTCATTTTGTCTTTTATAGAGCCTCACTTCAATATCATTCAGAGAGAAAAAGTGTTTTATTGGATTCCATTCCTAAAACGTGTCTTTCTTTTTTTTTTGTATTTGATTCAGATGCAGATTGTGTTTGACTCATGTCTTCTTAGGAAGAGAGAGGACAAAGTAACTGCGGCCATGGTTCGTCTGCAACTCGAGGAGTCCTGGAGCTTGTATTACATGGAAACAAGACTTTGACTCGGCACCATTTTACACCCGCTTTCAGTGTTACGTGCATAGGCGACATCTTTTGACCATCTTTCGACATGCAATCTCTCGACATGCTATGTGAACGGCTAAAAGACCGTTTAACAGTGAAACTGGCAATTTTTCCTGTATTAGCGGAAAATATGACAAATAAAGGATACTTACTGACCTCAAATCGCTGAAGACGATTGCGGACTTTGCATGTTTCCTGATTTACGGGATAAATCAAACTATTCGAGTGTAGTCGATCGGCTCTCAATAGTGACTTCCGGTAAAATTGGGCCGTTACCGCTTTTGATATTCGAACGATGTAAATATTCAAACAATCAATTTATCTCTCACAGAATGACTTCTTGATGCTCCTAGCCTTATTCTGATGTCAAATAAATCCATCGTTCATGACTTAAAGTCGAGTTCGACCATAAAGAAGTCCGTTGTGCTTACATTTTTGACGTAGGCCAGGTTACATAGCGTGTCGAAAGATGTCGCCTATGCATGCACGTAACACTGAAAACGGGTGTAACAGTCCGCAAAGGATGTTCATGTGTGGATTGGCTCAAGCATAGATATTAGCATTCAACTATTCAACTTTACTTGTTGACTCACGCAGCTCGTTCAAGTAGCATTTCCCATTTTAAGGACAATAATTATCACTGAGAGCCAGACTCTAGACAGTTCAATAGCAAGAGTTCAAACTTTGCTTCCCATCTTCCGTCTTTTCTTGTCGTTCTTGACGTGATGGTAAAGGTGTAGTTTATCCACTCACACAAGCAAGGTTCTGGGCTGTTAAATTCTGTCATAGTCCGTCTTTGTAGTTGGTAACGGTGAACCAAAAAGCGCTTGCTGACATACGACTAAGGTCTTAGAGTGAATGCATTTCCAAGTAATTAGTGAATTTCTGGCTTTCTTACATGTTCTCTTGTTGTGTTATCAGCGCTCATAATCCATCGAATATTTTTGCTCGCACGCGATTGGTCTAAACACGTCCCTTGACTCAATATGACCCAGCTAAAACAGGGAATATCCGAGTGTTATAATCCATCGAATATTTCACTCATGCGCGATTAGTCTAAACACGTCACGTGGCCGAATATTTTCCAGCTAAAACTAGGGAATGATTGAGTGATATTTCCCAATGTTCAAAACCGCGCGTGTTGTGAAAAATATTTGAAGGATAGTAAACACAAAAGCCTCCATCTGGCGCGAAAATATGTGCGGATATTTGTCCTTTGACATTATCTGTTCCTCAAAGTTCCTAGTTTTCAAACTGTACGCTTCTCGGAACAGACAATGTCCGCGGACAAATATCAGAGCATACAGAGCCAAATGAAGGCTACTGTTTATATATCTAACGCGCTTTTATGCTTGTTCAAGGATTGAATAACTTTATTCATTCGTATCCAGTAGGTTATACATATCAGCTGCACCGCATGATGCGAGTGTTCGACTAACTTCGCGCTTTCCCAAAACCACGGAAAACAACGGTTGCTCGCATGGGACCGGAGGACGTCACGCCCCCCTCTCCCTCGAACAGTTATCCCTTCTAATAAACAACTGCTCTGCACGTACCACGGGGTTTTCAGCACTCTCGTCACCTCGATTTCCATTTCTTCCGTCGCTTCCAATTCCGAATGTGGTACAGCCGAAACTTTCTACAACCGCCGACTTGGAGACAGAGGGAAGTGCACGTTGTAGATAGGCGGCCGTTATACGAAGATAAGGGTATATTACACCTGTTCATTTCGGCCCGGGAGAGGGGGAGCATTTGATTTTGCATGCTTTTAATGCTTCTCTTAACACATAAATACTTAAAGGAGAAGGTCATTCCAAAAACGTATATTTTTTTGTCAACGCTAATAAAAACCTTGTACTAAGTTAAGCCACTCACTGAAGTTTCAGCCTCTAAAGTGCAGGTTTTCCTCATAAAATTCGTCTCCAAAGAAGCCCAAAATTCGAACATCGTTGCCGCCATTCCGTCCGAGAGATTTTGTCCTCGAGGCTTTCGAAGAGCCTTTTGACTACCACTTAGGGTTATGGCTGCTCTTGAGCCATATTATTTTGAGCCAGACATGCTCCAAACTCCGAAATGGTAGCATTGAAGAAAGCGAAGTGGATAATCGCTTGGAAAAAAATAGATTTTGCTGACCTTGTGAAGGATGCCAAGTCAGCTACAGGTTTTTCTCCTTCCCGCCAATTTCTAATCGGACGGAAAAAAAGGGTGGCCGTTGTGGAGAGGTTGCCGTTGTAGAGAGGAGAGGTGGCCGTTGTAGAGAGGAGAGGTGGCCGTTGTAGCGAGGTGGCCTTTGTAGAAAGGTCTCCGTTGTAGAGGGGTGGCCGTTGTAGAGAGGAGAGGTGGCCGTTGTAGAGAGGTGGCCGTTGTAGAGAGGAAAGGTGGCCGTTGTAGAGAGGAGAGGTGGCCGTTGTAGAGAGGTGGCCGTTGTAGGGAGGTGGCCTTTGTAGAGAGGTCTCCGTTGTAAAGAGGTGGCCGTTGTAGAGAGGTGGCCGTTGTAGGGAGGTGGCCATTGCAGAGAGGTGGCCATGGCAGAGAGGTGACCATTGAAGAGAGGTGGCCATTGTACAGAGGTCGCCGTTGTAGGGAGGTGGTAATTACAACAAATATCGATTTAGCTGCGCTACAACTTTTGCTCTTCCAATTCATGTAATTGGTCACGTGGGGGTAAATCTCAATGAACCTTTTCGTGCATGGCGTAATAGTGTGCCGTCTTTAATTCACACCAAAGAAATGGTAACCATGACTGCCAACAGAATGTATTAAAGCGCTGTTAAACCAGACAGTTTCAGACAACGATCAAATAGTATCCCATGATTCATCTGGTTTAGGCTTATATTATCACTGCGTACGTGACGTCATCATTCATTCCACGCTCTCTGGATGAAGCCATGGCGTGCTTTCACACTTGTCTGGATTCCGTGGCTTCTGCTTTTAAGAGTACCTAGTTAGTTTATATTCAATGCGTTTCAAAGGAGAATTTTGCCGTTACAGTGAAGGGTTTTACTTGTGTTCCGTTGGTCTGTCGAGAAATACATACAAGCTATGTGGAAAGCATCGACGAACGAACAAGAGCTCTCGTTCCTGTGGTTGTTGTGAATTCGCCTACGGACGAATTATTCGCTGGGGTAAGAAGCCCTGTGCTGATAAGAATAAGTTACAGCAGGTA